CAGCCAGTGTAGACACAGCCATATTGTTGTATGTTCTGATGATGTTGGTATATATTCTGTTTTCCGGCTATGTGAGGTGGGAAATGTTGGCAGGCAAGTCGAACGGCTCTGAGCTCAAAGACGTTGATGTGTAGGGCAAGTTCTGTTGCTGCCCATATTCCTTGAGTGATGGAGTCTTTCATATGTGCTCCCCGCTCAGTAAGGGAGGCATCAGTTGTGATGACCACTATAGGTTCTGGAGTTTGGAAAGGAATGCCTAGGCATAAATTCTTTGGGTTTTGTCCACCATAGTACTGCATTTTTTACTGTGGGAGGAATAGATGGGTTTTTGGTTAGTGGGTGAAGATTTGGGTTGTAAACTGACCTGAGCCAGCCTTGAAGGCATCTCATGAAGAGACAAGCATTTGGAACGACAGGGTTGCAGGAAGCCATGTGCCTTGAAGTTGAAGACAATTGTGTGCAGTGACACATAGCATTAGGTACAACTTTAGAACTAAATCGCAAATCTTTGAGAACCTGTTTAGGGGTGGGGAGGCTATGGCAGTGGTCGAACTGAGCTGTGCTCCAATGAATTGTATGGACTGAGTTGGTAGAAGCACTGATTTTTGTCTCATTCACTAATAGCCCCAGTGATTGGAAGCATTCTCAGATGAGAATCGTCCTCAGTTCTTGCTTTGATGAAGCAATCACTGAGATAAGTGTCGATAATAATGTCCTGTTTCCTGAGGTAGGCCATAACCACTGTCAACTTCTTGGAAAAGGCTCTCAGAGTCCAAAGAGTATGTTGGTAGTGCTGGGTATATAAGCTGAAATGGAGAAACCGTCTATGAGCAGGATGAATAGTAATATGAAAAGTCGAGAGACGAAAACCAATCATCTGGCTCCAGAAAAGAGATAATGATAGTCAACATTACCATCTTGAATTTTTGCTTCTTTACTAATTTGTTGAAAATTAGACACCATCCTCTGGTCCTCTTTTGTGTGAGAAAATAATGTGATTAAAAATCACTCCCATGGTCTTCCTGTGTGACTGCTTTTATGGTGCCCAACTGGAGGAGATGCTCGACTTCCTGTTGTAGGATGGCCTCGTGAGAGTGGTCCCTAAACAGGGACAGGGTAGGAGGTGGGAGGAAGGGATGGAGAGGAAAGGATTGGTGTATCCTGATAGGATTGTTTATAGTACCCATCTGTCAGATGTTATTTTCTGCCAGTTGGCATAGAAAGGCAGAAGGCAGTGGGTGAATGGTTTATTGTTAATTGGCAACTCTGGAGTGGACAGAATCATTTTTGGTCTTTTAACCAATGGCTCAAATCTTCTTATTTGGTAGGGGTGGCTGATTGGTAGTGCTGCTCTAGTTGCAGCTACACTGTTGTCTGCCATGACCTAATTGTTGCTGTGGTTGTTGGACCTGTCTCTCATGTTGATAAGTATAGGGTGGGTACCTCAGTCTCAGGTATGTTTGGTATCAATACTGCCTCCTCCTGGTTGCAGGAGTACGGATGCCGAGAGAATCGAGTGTTGCCTAGGAATCCTTTATTGAATGAAGGACCTCATTGGTCTTGGTAGGAAAGAGCTTTTCGCCCTCGAATGGTAGATCCTCCACGGTTGACTGAATTTCACACAGAAATGCAGAAGAGTTAAATCCATCTCATAACGACTACAGTCACTATTGATCTGATGGCAGTATCTGCAAGATCAAGAGAAGCCTGTAGAGCTGTTCTCTAAATTGTGTGTCCATTCACAATGATCACTCTGAATTGTTGTTTCTTAGCCTCATGTGTATCCTCAATAAGTGTTGAATTTTGAGTAGTTGTTAAAATTGTATTTACCAAGGAGTGCAGTGTAATTGTCAACTCTGTACTGTAGGGATGGTTGAGGTGTAGGCTTTCCTGACAAACAAATCCAGTCTTTTTGCTATCTTTGTCAGCCGGGGTGAATCAAGGCTGATGCTGCTTGTTCCTTTGATGGGCTGCATCCACCACAAGATAATTGGGTATGGGTGGGTGAAAAGGAATTCTGACCCCTTTGGAGGATGTAATATTTTCTATCTGCCCTTTTACAGGTCAGGGGGATGGTTGTGGTGGTCTGCCACAGTTTTGGCAGGTTCCATAATAGCTGGATTAATAGGCAGAGCAATCTTGGATGATGGCATAGCTTGGAGGATTTTGGTGAGTTCATGCTGTGTCTCCTGCACTTCCTCCATGGCAATATTGAGTTCTTAAAGAGATCCTGGAAAGTTGTAAAGTCATCAGCTGTGATTTGAGGATGTGGCATGACTGCCTCATTGGGTAAGGAGGATGAGTTTGTATCTGGCGAAGTACTGGGGCTTGACTCACAGGATTGTGGATCCCAAGTTTTCTGCTGATTCCTCTTCCGGAGGCTGTGGGCTGCATATGCTTCTTTTTTTAAAAGTCTCTTTTTGTAGTCATAAACCCATGGATTCCAAAATTGCCATTGTGCAGAATAAGGCATGGAAGTGGGCCACAGGAGGCATGCTGGAGGCAATGGGGTGCCTAAAACTGGGATGAGTTGATGTTACGGACATTTCACTACCTGGTGACAACTGAGAATGATAAATCACCTTCATCATCATCATCGTTGGATAAAAGGGTAGGCGATGAGAGATGTTTTGGTGCTGCTGACAGAGGTGACATGTTGGTACCAAGAAATGGAGAATTAAGTGTAGATAACACTGAAAGCAGGGCTGGTCTTACCATGAGGCAAACTGAGACGGCTGCCTCAGGTGCCAGACTGGGGGGGGGGGGGCCAGAGTGTAGAAAATTGTGTCATATATATTCTCTCTGCAGTACCATGAGAGGAATAGAACAGGAAGAAGGCAGAATTGAGTCCTTTCAAAGTTTTGGCCCAAGCGAGGGGATATGGGGGCATCATTTGAGCTCTCCGCCTCAGGTGCCAAAATGTTGTGGGCTGGCCCTGACTGTAAGGTCTCTGTGATGTAAGTACCTGGGTTCTGGAGTGGAAAGTGTCATGACTGTCGGTACCATGAACAGTACCGGAGCAGGTGTGATTGCGGTTGGCACCAATGAAGGTTGTGCCACTGAGGTAGCTGTGGCACCATCAGGTGGTGGAACAGTGCTGATGGACTGCACCACTGGCTTCTGCGGTGCCGTGGTAGAAATCTTCAGTGCCGAGGATTCAGTTGTCTGGTTACTTGATGCCATAGTGGTTGCCAAGGCATGAGAGGCAAGCATGAAAGGGCCTGCAGCCTCATTGTGGGCTCTGAGGGTACTGTGCCTGGAGAGAGCCCAATCGGTACCCGAAATGTCCAGTGCTTCATAAGTGCTGAGGCAAGGTGGTCTGTTAGTCCTTGGTACCAACTTTTCAGTTGTGTGCCTCTTAGGTGACTGTGACTTGTGAGGTAATGAAGAGGCACATTTTTGGGGGGATTTTTTCCCTTTTTTGGGTCTTCCCCTATTAGGATCCTGCATGCCAGGATCCAAGATGGGATGTTGTGACTTTTCCAGCATAATAATTTTCAGGCGGAGGTTCCTGTCTCTGCATGTTTGCACCTTGAGTTTAGCACAGTGCTGGCAGTCCTGTTGAACATGGGACTCACTGAGGCATTTGACACATTTAGAATGTCAGAGGCTATGGCTACACTGCCATTGTTTTGCGGAAGAAGATATGCAAATCACACTCGTATTTGCATATCTTCTTCTGATTCTTTTTGCGGAAGAGGTTTTGCCGCTATTTGGCCCCGTGTAGACGGGGCCAAAAGTCAGAAAAAAACCTTCTTTCACAAGACCCCTCATTCCTCATAAATTGAGATTTACAAGGGCTTGCAAAAGAGGGGTTTTTTCTGACATTTGGCCTCAACTACACGGGGCCAAATAGCGGCAGAACCTCTTCAGCAAAAAGAATCAGAAGAAGATATGCAAATACGAGCACGATTTGCATATCTTCTTCTGCAATAAAATGGCAGTGTAGCCATAAGCAGAGACGGGTATAGCCTCATTGCAGGCTGAACAATGTTTGAAGCATGGTGACCCCGGCATTATCAGTGGGGTGAACAGCAAACAGTGGGAATTGTAACTGGAGAAAACGGAGGGATTTTTTTAAGGATTTGTTTGTTTTTAGGGAGATGAACTTGGATAAAGTGTAAAGTAAGGGAAGAGGAAATAATGAAATTCAACTACTTATCTACAAGGATTAACAAAGAGTGAAGAGCACTGCTGAGCTCCGTCTTAGCTGGGGATGGTAAGAAAGAACTAAGAAGAGGGTGATCATGCCAAGCAGTGCCATTCATGCATGGCCCCCTATGCACTGATGTAAAGAGTCCGGTCTGCAGTGCTGAGACACACCGAGACCTGTTGTAGAACACCCACAGAGACATCTCTCGATGAAGAATAGTAAATTATTTTTTATTGAGGTCTACATTTTGAGATCAAGATATAGTCAAAGTCCAGACTCCAGAGAAAATAATAAAAAATAGGGGTAATAATAAGTAAATTAAAAAAATCTCAGGGTCTGTTTAGAAGTGTCTGATTGTCTGGATTTAGCCCACAGTCTACCTATTGATAACTCTTGCTATAAACCATGAAGTCTATATTCTCAAAGATATGTAAGTCAATTATTCACATTGACTAGCACCATGAATTAAGTTGTTCATTTTTTGTACAACATGAATAAAGATCATATATTGAAATGATTAAATATTTGAGGACTTCAAAATCATTAACTTTTTCATATGTTTTGCTGATTAAATGGCAACAAAAATACATGGTGGAGTTACTTTATGAAATATACTATGTATTGTGTGAATAGACATTTGACAAAAATGTTAACCTCATTTTTTGTAAGTCTAATTATATCAAGATTTGTATTGTCAGTGTTGAATTTCTGTCCCTTAAAGACCTAAACATTATCAAGATATCTGCATTAAATTACAATCTCTTTTGCACGGATAATATGTCTTCTGGCAATTTGTAAATTGCAAAACAAACACAGACATAATTACAATCATTAAAAATGCTAGTACCATTTAGTTCTTCTGTAGTTCCTTCTTCATCAGTTCTGGACATGAAAGTATCTTCATCGGTGCCTTTAGTATCCACTACAGTTGTCAAATATCATAACATAAAAAGAACATTATGAGTAAAACAAAAAATATTTTTGTCCAAAAGTAGAAATAATACATTTAGGTAATTCTGCATTTTCTTTGTAGAGACTTACGTTACACAATAAGTAGCACATTACAATTATAATACTACTACTTCAAGAACAGAGTTAAACTTGATTATTATGGTTCAAATTATATTTTAATATAATGCAGGTTATGCATTAATTTTGTAATAGACAATTCTTGCACAATTTATGGAGGTGTTTGTGACTCTCGAGTAAAAGTTGAGAATTGTAAAATGATAGAATTGCATTTCTATGATATTGTAGCATAGAAACAATACTGCTTAATATTTTGTATAAAGTGGCATATACTCCGTGATAAAATGGACCCCAATTGTGCCAAAAACTTTCTAGATATTACAGTAGTCAGGTAAAAGTTATGTAACAGTTTTAGATACATTTTTAAGTCTGAGGGTATGGCTACACTGTTTGGTTTTTTTGAAGACGGTATGCAAACTATGCTCACATTTTCATATCTTCTTCTGTTTTTTTTTTTCTGGAAGAGAATTTTCCGATATTTAGCCCATCTACACGGGCCCAAATGTCTGGGGAAAAAACTTCTTTCGGAAGCCCCCTGTGCACCTCATTTTACAAGGAATAAGGGGGCTTCTGAAAGAGGTTTTTTTCCGACATTTGGTCCTATGTAGAAGATATGCAAATGCAAGGACCATTTTCATACTTTCTTTGAAAGAAAAAACAACAGTGTAGCCGTACCCTGAGAGTTTTATTGAATTAAATATTTAAAAAGAATAGGCCAGTCAGCACAGTATATTTTATGCATGAATATACTGAATTCAGGGTTGGCTTTTTACAGTGTTCCCATGTTTTGAGTTTTTAATATGATATAGGTCACCTTTTGGTTTAAATAAAATGTGTGAGAGAGTCCACATTGCTCAAAATGGTGCTTGGTCCTGCCATGAGGGCAGGGGACTGGACTTGATGATCTCTTGAGGTCCCTTCCAGGTCTAGCATTGTAAATCTTTTGTTTCCAGCTGGCTGAAAAACTAAAGAAAACACTACTGCGCATGCTTACATATGGTTCGCATTTTCAAGCTTTTCTTCTCAACTATGGGGTCTATAAGTACGATTTTTTAAAAGGAAAGCTCAGATTCTGAAGCACAACTCTGCAGTTAGAGGTGAATTCTGTGGCAAATCATGTGGGCATTGAGTCTGAAAGGCTCTCATTACACATTGTTAAAAAAAATTTCAAGTTATTCCACTTATCCAAAGTGTTCACAGAGAGATCATCCACTAAACATTCTTTCAAAATTCTTTCATTCTTCATCATCCACTGCATAACATGTTCAACTGCATATTTCATCATTTTGTAATGTCTTTCAGTGATATAGGGAAAATCATGGGCCAAATTCATCGTTGGTCTAATTCCACTGAAATACTGAAGTTATACTAGGAATTAATTTGGCTGCCTGTGTATTACAGCAAATAAAAAAATTAATTAATAAAATATTATGATATTGAAACAAGTCATACAAAATCCAGAAATCCAAAAAGTTAAGGATTCGAACACAAAACTGGACCATCACATGAAGCTCTATTCAATGACTGCTGAAATTAATAACAGACATTCTAGAAATTCAATGGAGTTGTTTTAGATTCATGGTGCATCTTGCATACTTTTGTATCCAGTAAGTTAGATGCTGAGTTAAGGTCCTTCAGGCCAGAAGGCTGAGGATGTGAGGGGTGCAGGAGTCAGAGTTGGAGGGCGAGAATGGGCTCAGAGCAGGGGGCTAAGGGTGCAGGAGTCAGGGCAGAGGTTGGGAGTGGCTGCTGGCTGTTCCCCGGGGCAGGCAGGAGCAGCAGGGGCTGCACTGCCTGGCCCCCAGCTACTATGTTGGGCCAAGATGGGGTGGTGGTGGCTGAGCTGCCCAGCCAGCAGCTGCTTCGCAGCTCTCTGGGGCTGATAGGGCACAGAGACCTCTTCCCTGGCCTGGCCAGGGTGGCAGGGGGTCCACTGCCTGGCTGGTAGTTGCTCCGTGGCTCTCCAGGGCTGTCGGGTTGGTAGGGGCACGTTTGCTTGCTGCCTCCCTGGGGTCATTCTTCAGTATGACAGTCCCTGCTATCACAGCCCTCCCTTTCTGTCTGATGAGAAACAATGGTATTCCATGCACATCCCATTGTCCTTGCACAACCAAACCCTTACCTTGCTTAAAGTTACGATAAAAGGAAGCTGAATACAAAAATTGGTGATTCTAGGTCTCACCATTTAGGAAGAGTTCTTGAACAGACAAAGAGACAGATGGACTCTCTCAAATATCTAGTAGATATAAAATTGCTTACATTTCTTACAATGCACAAATTGTTTTTGGCAGAGACTAAAAGCTGCAAAATTGGATCCAATGTTTATATCAATTACATGCATGGATTGATGCATGTAAACTGAATTTTATTTGAGACACTTATGGGTTTAGGTCTAGTAATCAGTTTTACCTGATGAGTCACGTTCTTGTTCTGAAGAACTGTCAGTCTTTTCTGTGTGAACATAAATATTAATACCTAATAGCAGTGCAACACTAATTAACTTATTTATATATACATTAGTCAATTATATATTTAGAATGTTTTTTACATATCTCATGTTTACACAGCTCCAACATCTATTCCTTCATAGTTCACATCCACTACATGCAAATCATTTCTTATCCACCCCTTCCTAATACTCCATGTCCTAAATCCATTACAAAATATTCTATTGTAGTTAACGGTAAACAATATAGCTGGGATGGTTGTGGAGGGGTATGCAGATGTGTGAATTGGGTATGTGTGCCTTCTGAAAGCATAAAAATTGCATATGAATCAACAGAATAAACTTATTTGAAGTGCTGCTGGTGTATGTATCACAGTCCTTAGTGCTGTTTTTTCATAACTAACTATGGGCATGTCTAAACAGCAGGGCTTAACTTGAAATAAACTACGCAAATTGAGCTACGTCAATTGCGTAGCATATTTCAAAATAGCTTATTTTGAGTTTTGCTGCTGTCTATACAGCACTTATTTTGAAATAGAGCACTCTTCCTCCAGCTTCCTTTAGGATGCATCTACACAGCAGGGCTTAACTCAAAATAAGCTACGCAAATTGAGCTACATTAATTGTGTAGCTTATTTTGAAATAGTTTATTTCGAAATTGAGAGCATCTACACAGCACTTATTTCAAAATACAACACTCTTCCTCTGACTTCTCTTACTCCTTGTACAATGTGGGTTACAGGAGTCGGAGTAAGAAGTCCTTCAGCTTGACAGTATTTCAACATTGTTTCAAAATAACTGCCTGCCATGTAGATGCGGATTAATTTATTTTGAAATAACACTAGTTATTTCAAAATAATATTGCTGTACCCCCACTCCTCATAAAGTGAGGGTTACAGGAGTCTGAGTAAGAAGTCCTCCAGCTTGACAGTACTTTGACATTATGTTGAAATAACTGGTGGCTGTGTAGATGTGGACAATATTATTTTGGAAGAACACTAGTTATTTCGAAGTAATGTTGCTGTGTAGACATAGCCTATGAAAAACTCTTATGCTATAGGAAAAAAAGTATATGGAAACACTAGACTTTTATCCAAAATGCACACCTAACTCCTAATGAAATCCATGGGATTTTTTTGGCATGGGGAGAAATGTAGCATTAGTATCAAAAGTACCTAACCTCACTGCTTTCAGAACTGTAAAATTCAATTTTTCAAAGAAGATTTAAATATTTTGTCAATGGAGATGAGAAAAGGAGAAATGAAAATAAATTAATTTTATTTTTTGAATAGTTAATAATGGTTGTGGGACAAAATAGATGAACATTACGATACCTTTGCTAGTATCTTTACTCTGATCTTCCACATTTGTTTCTTCCTCGGGCTTAATGGTGTCACTTTCTTCATATTCATCTGTTTCTTTGTAACTACCACTTTCTTGGGCATCTAGTGCAGCTGTGAAATATCATTACATTTACAGAAATTATGGCATAAGACAAAAATGTATTTATTTGAAATTTCTTCTTGAGCCTAATTTCAGTAACTACTAGTTTTATAAATATTTTTGAAAGTTTGTTTGTTTATTTTTGTTTGTCCCAAAAGATCTCCGAAACAGTAAGAGCTAGAAACACCAAATTTTGCACGGATACTACTGATTTCCCAACTTAAATGACTGGATTGGTTATATCTCGAAATTGGTTCCCCCGGAGCCCCAATTGGGCCCCCAGAACCCAAATTGAGCCACTAATTAGCTTTTAGTAGCACCTGATCATAGTCATTGCTGGACTCTTCTGGTAAGTGTGTCACAAATAGCAACTACGAGATCCTTTTCCTATGATAACAGAAAAAGTACTAGCTATGTTAATTTCTTAAAGTAATATATAAGAGAAAAGTATTTCCAATAAAATATGCTATGTTAATGTCATGGACATAGTTAATTCATACTATATTTTCTCCAGGCAAGGCTGGGCATTTCTGCTAGTCTAGAATAAAACAGAAGCAAAATATTGCACCTGAAAAAATTAAAAACAAAAACAAAAAAAGAAAAACATTTTAAAACATTATACCAAACCCTTGACATAAGCATTTCTCTCTAATTTTCAGAGTGCAATTATTATAACTATTGTCAAACTTTGGAACACAGAATATTTATGAAATATGATGCAAATTGCCGGCTTCCTCCCTAAAGAGCAGCATGCTGGTAGCAGATTTGTGGTTAATAGAATCACCATATTTCATGTTCTAATCATGGAGAAGGCCCCTGACATTTTTTTGTAGTGATGAGAAGTGGTAGGTCTCTCAGCTGTCATTGTTCTAGCATGGGGTGGCCAACCACGGCTCAGCTCTTCACCCCTGAAAGTGCGGCTTGTGAAGTCCCCCCATCATGAAGCCACCCCATGTGCCCAAAAAACGGCTCCCTGTGCATGTTTTTTTTTTTTTTTTTTTTTTTTTTCGGCTCACTTCGTTTAATGGGTTGGTCACCCCTGTTCTAGTAAGCCAATATGAGGTCCTTGTAGAAAACTTGTAGAAACACTTCACATGGCTATTGTTTATCTTCATTCAATGCACAAAGTCACTAAAAAGAAGAGAGGAATGAGGCAAAAGATGATGAATGGATAGAGAACATTCTCATTAGTGCCCTAGGGTATGTCTAGACTGCTTCCTTCTGTTGGCAAAGGGATGCAGATTAGGCAGATCAACATTGCAAATGAAATGGGGATTTAAATGTCCCACACCTAATTTGCATAAAATGTCCACCGTTTTTGCCGACTCAGCACTTTGTCGGCAAAAAGCTGCAGTCTAGAGGGGAATCTGTCGAGAAAGAAAGCCTTTTTTGACAAATCCTGTAGCTCTCCTTGCAGGAGGAATAAGGGATCTGTCGAAAAAGGCTTTCTTTCTCAACAGACCCCCTCTAGATGGCCGCTTTTTGCTGACAAAGTGCTGAGTCGGCAAAAAACGGCAGCCTTTTTTTGCAAATTAGGCACGGGACATTTAAATCCCCACTTCATTTGCATTGTCGAATTCAGTGTTTCACTTTGCCATTTCCCTCATTTAATCCCATATAATATTTTAGTTAATATTTAATTAACTTATGGTGTCTTTAATATTCTAGTTACAGCTTTTCTGGAAAAGATTCTGGCTTGAAATAAAACTGGAAAAGAACTCAGCTTAATGCAACATAGCATAACCATAGTGTAGATATGGTTGGTAAAACTGTCAGGGCCAAAAAGAAATCCCATGTTTTGTATAATTTCATTCCAGAACAACTTTACAACTCTCTAACCATAATACTATGTATATGTGCTGACAGAGAGTTTAAAACATTTCAAAGTAGCAGTTGCTTTATTTTATTAACTAGAAACAAACAAGAGAGCCCAAAAAGCTGGAAAGCACCTTATTCACCTTGCTCTTTTAACATTTTTGCTATTTCCAGCTTATTTTTCACGTTTGTAATAGCAACATCTACTGCCTCAATACGAGCTTGTGCAATGATTTTTTCCCTTGCTTCTTCCATACACGGTTGAATGAGTTTGTCCATATCAAGAACCTAAAGAAAGTATTTGAAAACATAAGACTAAACTTAAATAATACATCTTAAAGTTTGATACATAAACAGATGCAAACTGAGATAATCCAATTCTACTGTCATAAACAATAGTGTAAAATTGGAGAAACTGGACAGATTTCAGCGAAAGTGGTATTTGTCTCATCATTTGTGCTACCTCTCAAACTCTCTAGCCTTGTATATTTAAGATACAAGAGGAAGTTACTTACCTTGTGCAGTAACGACGGTTCTTCGAGGTGTGTCCCCCCGTGGGTGCTCCACTTCAGGTGTTGGGCTCATCCTGCATCACGGGTTGGAGATTCGTAGCCGTGGTTCATCCGGACCGTGCATGCTCAGCGGCACATGCTGTTCGGGTCTGGCTCCTGCCAGTTCCTCCTGATCAGTCACTCCTGAAAAATATAAAGAAGAGATTCCGAAGCGGGGAGGAGGGCGGGTTGTGGAGCACCCACAGGGACACACACCTTGAAGAACCGTTGTTACTGCACAAGGTGAGTAACTTCCTCTTCTTCTTCAGGTAGCGCCCCCGTGGGTGCTTCACTCTAGGTGAGTACAGAGCAGTAGCCTCATTTATGGAGGTGGGATTGGATTTAGGATGTGGTTGGTGTGGACAGCACTGTGGAGGCCAGGAGTGATTCTCGAGCAATAGCGTCGATTGTATAATGCTTAGCAAATGTCATGTCTGAAGACCATGTTGCCGTACGGTGAATATCTTGCATTGGGACACCTTTAAGGAAGGCCATTGAGGTAAATGTTGCTCTGGTGACATGAGCATTAATTGATGTAAGCGGGGCCTGCTGCGTAGTGAGTAGCACGTTGTAATACATTTTACAATTATCTTAGAAATGCGTTGCGAAGACAATGATTGGCCTTTGGTTCGTTCACCAGAACATAATAGAAGTCGCTGCGACTGTCAGAAAGGGACTGTCCTCTTGAGGTAGAAAGCCAAGACTCTACGAACAACTAAGGTATGTAAGCGGGCTTCATGACTGGAGGTATGTGGTTTGGGGTAAAATGTTGGAAGTATGATAGGCTCATTGATGTGAAATTCTGAATTCACCTTCGGCAACAAATTGGGATGGGATCGAAGTATTACTCCCTGGCAGGTAAAAAGAGTATATGGCGGGTTGGCCGAAAGGGCAGCCAGTTCACCCACCCATCGAGCTGAAGTTATAGCTAGGAGGAAGGCAATGTTCATAGTGAGTGTAGGGATGTCACAGGTAGCAAAGGCTCGAATGGTGGATAGGTTAAGGTGTCCAACACCAGCTCCAGATCCCATAGAGCAAGAGCTTCCTGCATGGGAGGTATAGATTTGCTAGGCCTTTCAAAAGGCATTTGGTCATCGGGTTAGCAAATATTGAGAATCCTTTGATTGACTATCTAAATGCAGAGATTGCCAAGAGATGGACTTTGATGGACGAGAGTCCCAATCCTGAGTGGTGCAAGTAAAGCACATAGTCCAGAATGCGATGGATTGGAATGGATGCCACATCGAGGTTATTGGTTAAACATCACAAATAAAAACGACGCCATTTATAAAGGTAAGTTTTGCGCATGGAATCATGTCTACTATACATTAGTACTTGTTTTACCTCTTGGGAGCAGAGGATTTATGAGCTATGGAACCAGTTAGGAACCACGGCATTAGGGGTAGCCAGTCAATTTGGGAGCGTGGCATTGACAGTCCTGGTTGCATCGGGAGGTCGGGTTGCTTCGGCAACTGGTATGGGGGTTGGAGGGACATTTGCAGAAAAAGGGGAAGCCATGTCTGTCTGGGCCAGAATGGAGCTATGAGTATGATTATGGCTCTGTCTTTGGTTATCTTCTCCAGTATCCTCGGAAGAAGTGGAACTGGTGGAAAGGTCTAGAGTAGGTGGTGACCTCAGTTTATCTGAAATGCATTCCCGAGGGATCCCAGCCCCAGATCCGTTCTGAAGCAGTATTTCAGGCATTTTGCATTGAGATGTGTCACAAAGAGGTCCATAGTGGGGTATCCCCATCATTAAAATATGGAGTGGATTACCTCTGGGTTGAGTTCCTATTTGTGCTGGGGAAAAAAATGTCACTCAAGGCATAGTCAACTGTGCTGTCCTTGCCGGGGATGTACGTGCCCACAATGGTAACTCTGTGGCGTATACACCAGTTCCTCAATTTCGTGGCTTCTGCGCAGAGGGGCCTGGATCTGGCACTGCCCTGGCGATTGATATAGTAAACCGTGGTAGTGTTGTCGGTAAAGATTTGAACCATCTGGCAGCGAATCTTTGGTAGGAATGTCCTGCATGCGTTGAATACTGCCCTGAACTCTAGAAATTTGATATGTTGAAGGGCCTCTTGTGCACTCCATTGAACTTGAGCATGCTCGCCCTCTCAGTGGGCTCCCCAACCTAGCAGAGATGCATCGGAAGTAATTTGAGCCGTGGGTTGTGGCCAGCGGAAAGGAACACCGGAGAGCATGTTTGCCTGAGAAGTCCACCATATTTGGGATTGGAGTACACTGGGTGGTACCATTACTGTTCTATGTATATCCTGATTGCCAGGACCATAAATTGACACCAGTCAGTGTTGGAGGCATCTGAGGTGTAACCTCGCTTGTCTTACCACATACATTGTGGCGGCCATAAGTTGTGTCTCATAAGTTGCAGACAGGTAAGTATTGGCATCTTGGGACTGATAGAAAGTGTCTGCGTAAGGTTCTGTATTTTGTGGAATCTTTCCAAAGAAAGACAGTCCCTGCCCATTGCAGAATCTAACCGTGCCCCAATGAACTTGAGGGATGTTTGTGGTATGAGCAAGGACTTCGGGACATTAAGTACAAGGCCGAGAATCGAATATAAGGCCCTTGTGACTTCAGTGGTGCGAAACGTGTGATTGTAAGTATGGGCCTTGATCAAACAGTCATCCAGGTACGGGATTATCATAATGCCTTGGCAGTGTAGATACACAGCGACCACTGATAATTACAAAAATACCCTGGGTGCTGATGATAGGCCGAATGGAAGAATCTTGTACTGAAAGTGCTGTATGCCTATGATGAATCTGAGGAAGCTTCTGTGTGCTGGTTGTATTGTCACATGGAAATACGCATCCTGCAAATCGAGGGACGTGAACCAGTCTCCTGTGTTTATCACTGGGAAACTAGAAGCTAAAGTCACCATCTTGAATTTGTGTTTCCTGAGATACCAATTGAGACCTCGAAAATCTAGGATAGGCCTCCATCCTCCTGACTTCTTCTTGGTGAGGAAATAACGAGAATAAAATCCTCTGCCCTGGAATTGTCGGGGAACTCTCTCCACCACCCCAATCTCTATGAGTCGCATGACCTTTTGTAGTAAGAGAGTGTTGTGAGATGGGTCCCTGAAAAGGGACGGGGTTGGGGGAGAGATAGGAGGAAGAGACAGGAGTAGAGTTGAGTATCCTGATGTTATCAATTCTCAGACCCAACGGTCTGTGGTGATGGTAAACCACCTGAGTTGATAGGGTCTCAGACAATGGTGAAACAACTTCTGTGATTCCGGGGGATATGTTAATGGAATGGTTCGCAGTCCCTCGACAGGACCGTCAAACCGGCTGTCTGTTGTTCTGAGAATTGGGCACTCTACCCGTCTGCGGTCTACATTTTTGGTGGCGGGGTCTGCCGCGCTGTTGCTGTTCAAATTGTCTGTATCTGGGTCCGGTGTATGAGAAGGGACTCTGTTTGTCATAGAGCGTATAATGCTTGCGATGATAAGGTGGTGTATACATGCTGAGCTTTCTTAAAGTTGTTCTGGAGTCTTTGCCTGAGTATAGAACTTGATCAGTCTTTTCGGCAAAAAGACTCTGCCTATCGAAGGGCAAGTCCTCGACTTTGGCCTGAAGCTCCCTGGGCACTGAGGCCAACTGGAGCCACGATGACCTTCTCATGACCACCGATATTGCCGTGCACAATGTCCAGAGAAATCTGCAAGGCCATTCTTGAGGCTGTGTGGCCTTCCTGGACCACTGATTTTAATATTTGGCGCTTGTCCTCCAGTATACGTTCCAGTAATGCCACTAGCTTTGAATAATTATCAAAGTTATGGTTGGACAGGAGAGTGGCATAATTTGCCATCCTCAGGTCAGTGTGGCGGAGGAGTAAACCTTCCGGCCAAAGAGGTCCAGCCTCTTAGATTCTTTATCAGCAGCAGCGTTCTTATATTGTGGTGTCTTAGCTCTCTGTTGGGCTGCATCAACAACCAATGAATTTGGCTGCGGGTGCATAAACAGGAACTCCATCCCTTTTGAGGGAACAAAATATTTCTTGTCTGCTCTCTTATGTGTGGCCTGAGCAGAGGCCGGTGCCTGCCATATATCGTCTGCAATCTCAAGGATTGCCTCATCCAACGGTAACGCCGTTTTTTATTTTTGTGATGGCTGAAGATGCTGTTTCTGTTGAACCTCCGTTATCTGGACTTCTTGACATTCCGCTACCCTCTTAAACAGTTCATGGAATTGGTGGATGTCATCTGTGGGGAAGAGTACCTAGGAAAGACTGCATCATCCAGCGAGGAAGAAGATTGGTCCGTTGGAGATTGGACTTGAGATTGTGTTTTCTCTGGCACGGGTATTTGCTCTGGTTGTTGAGGTGGTAGAGGCACATCCCCAGATGGTGTAGGTGGTCTTGTAGATGGTTGTGGAAGGGTTGGCAACCTGAGATTACTGTGAGGACTTCGTTGGTAACATTGTGGGGACCTCAAGGAAGAGTATCCTGAAGAGTAGCGACGTCGATAGTAATTGTCGCAGTGCCAATGGTAACGATCATGGTAATACCACCTTGGAGAATAACCTGGTGAGTATCTCCTTTCAGAGCCGTAACGATACCTGGAATAAGAGGATCGGGTTGGTGATCGAGGAGAATGGGATCTACACCTGGCATATGATGGCGAGCGTGAATGCCTACGATAACGTTCTAGTGATGACGAATACTGTGGTGAGGGTCTCTGTTGTTGAGGCATGAGAGTAGCATGACTTTCCTGTTGTAGTGGTACCGAAAAGACAGTGGCTGGTGACTGCAGTTGGGGAGAGACAGCAACCAGTTCTGGACTTGGAGAAGGTGTTAATACCCTTCTGGATTTGTGCTTAACCTTTCCTCGCACCGGAGACATACATGCTGCAGAGTGAGACCTGTGCTGTATCGGTGCTGCAGAGTGCCCTGTAAAAGGGTCCACTGTATGCTGTGCTGATGATTTAATCACACTGTGCACCGAAGTACTCGGTGCCATCATGGTGGTCCACGCCAATGCCAGCGTGGATGAGCCGCTCCGTCAGGGCACCGGAGATAGTTCCGAAGGCGTCGGTGTAGTAGCCGGTGCCACAGTAGCCGGTGCTATAGTGGGCGGTGCAGGGCCAACCGGTGTCGACAGCAAAGGTGCCGACATTGGTGCCAAGACGTGCATGGTCGTCGGTGCCGCAGGTTTTCTTTTAACGGGAGCCGGGGTGGATTCAGGTCACAGGGCTGCGTCCAGTGCCAGAGTAGCCTCCCTATGAAGGGAAGGACTCGGCTCCGATATGCTGCAGCTTGACTTGTTCCTGTCAGCATGCCGGGGTACCATCGATCCCAAGATAACAGGCCTGTCCCCCACACTCCTGCGTGAGGTCGACAAGTGTCCAAGGGGTGACTTTTTGGCCAGTGTTAGAGCTGAAGATGTCGGCGGTCTGGCAGTCTCGGTATCAGTGGGCTGTAGAGCCTTGCTGAAGAGGAGCGTTTTTAACCGCATCTTGCAGTCATGTCTGGCTTGGGCAGTTAGTTAAGAACTTGGGCATTTTTGAGGGATATGACCCACGCCCAAACACATAATGCACAACGAGTGTCCGTCAGACACCGGCATTGCATCGTGGCACTCCTCACACTTCTTGAAACCAGGGGATTCTGGCATGTTGATTGAACAAGAACTATGAGGGAAAAATTTTTTTTTCTTTAAACTAGAACGAGGAAATGACTAATCTATAACTAACTAACTAACTAACTACGAACTATTGACTAACTATTTATAACTTACTTTACAGATTTCTTTTTGTCACTCTGAGGAGAGCGGTTTTGCTCCGCCTGCAACCACGAACAGTCAGGAGGAACTGGTGGGAGCTGGACCGCGTGCAGACTAGCGAACGACGTGAACAGCATGCGCCGCAGCACATGTGCGGTCCAGCTTAAACACGGCTACAAATCTCCGACCTGTGGCATGGGACGAGCCCGACACCTAGAGTGGAGCACCGATGGGGACACTACCCGAAGAAGATGATTAAGATTTTGTTTCAAGTTTCTCTATTATATCCTGCAATAAGGGCTGCCTTCCTATTCTATGCTCATGCAGTCACAACTTTTATCTAGTTGATATAAGTAAAGATATTATACTATTAAAATAAATTGCTAACTGAAAGTATTAATATACACTACACTGCATAGTAATCCATATCTATGACTATATTTAAGCTCAGACTCTCATATGGTCCATGCATAAAACCCTCTAACACATGCCAGTAACCTCTCAACACGGGTTCACTCAGCAATATAGGCAGGAGCCCGTGTTCTGTTGTTGCATGTGTCCAAGCCCACCTACTTTGCAATGAAGGTGTAGCAGAAGTCTGTGCTGCCAGGTTTGTGTTCAATCTGCTAATGCTATTCCACAATTCTCTCCCTCCAATTTCCCTCTTGATTCCTGTGAACTGGAAGCAACCTCCTGGGTCAAATACAACTTCTGGACATTTAATCCTGCCCTTTCACCCTGACTGCTGAATTGATAATACACTCACATCTTGCTTGTTGCCCACCACCTAGGACATTATTAACTGGTCAGAAGAACATGCTTAGATACTGGGCAAGATGTTGTGTGAGGAGACTAAGATCTATGACTTTGAGAGGAGTACCTCTGCATTTTTATGAAGCCATAGTAAAGAGGCTGGAAGCACTGAAGATCCACCAGATTAGTAGAACAAGTACCACAAGACTACCTATTGCAAAATGAAGAATGGAAATAGTATGTTAGGAACTACTTGGCTCACTGCCCCTACTAAAAGGAATTTGTCTGGTTGCAGGAACGCACACAGCACAGAGCCTATACCTGACAGTCTTCTATGTACAGGGATGGCATGGTTATAAGCCCAGAAGAAAAGGAAACAAGGACAAGGAACCCTACTGAAAGAGAGACTGTGGTTGCTCAGAACACACTACTGATGCTGCCGCCTGGCCCAGACCAGGCTTCCAAGGAGGACCAGATAGTGGACCTCTTGAGTCAATATTTGGAGGACATATTTTGGGATGACCCTTGAGAACAGTCTGCAGAGGAAGTAACAGCACAACAAGCCCTGGAGCCAGAGCCTGGTTTGTAGCAGTCACTATTTTAGTGTTATTGCTATTAAGAATGGTAGGGATTTCAAAGTTATGCTCAGCATAATTGTCATTACATACTACATGTATGTGTGTGCTGCAGCCAGAAGACAAGCCATTTTTCTTAACCACCTCAGCCTGAAATCATTTGGGATATAATATGGATTCTGGGACTGAAAAAAATCAGCAAGCCTTAGCTTTTTACTAGAAACACAGTTATCATTTGAAAGATGTTTTGGGTGTTAATCTTATGAAAAACAGATCCATATTTCTGCATACATAGCTCCACTTACAAGTTGGCCATGCCAGAATGCCCTCCTGGCACTGCGGTAGTAGATTGTGCTGCCTGGATTATCGGTGCAATTTGCAGTAGTGGATGTATTTAGACTCTGGGGCCCTGTCTGGTCATGGCATGCTGTCTATCTTGTCCCAGTACTTTTGAGAGGGCATGAGATTCTGGCCTCTTAGACTCTGGGGCCCTATCTGGTCATGGCATGCTGTCTATGTTGTCTCAGTACTTTTGAGAGGGCATGAGATTCTGGCCTGCAGCCACTTCTATTTGGCTAACCCTGTCATCTGGGGTTTTGCTTCTGCTTCCCAACCTGAGGCCCCTGGAGTTGTGCTCTTCCAATCATGGAATGCTGAGAATTATCAGGAAGAATGGAGAGCATTTCATATTGAAGCAGATTGTTTCTTGGTGTCCTTCCACTAAAGACTCTAAGGGAATGGTTTCCTGAATCACTGTTCCCACCAATAAGTGGGACCCATCAATCATCTCCACCAGCTCTGCTGCAGGTTATAGCCAGAGAGGGATCTGCAGGGTTTTGTCCCCCTTAGCTTCTATAAAGTTGGCAGCAGTTTTACAGTTTGTCATTGCTAGTTGTGGAGGGAACGGCACAAACCTATAACTGTAGAAACAATTGGAAATGCAGAAAGGTATCATAATTCTCAGATTGGGTTCTGTTTGAAAGTGGCATGTGGTTCCAGAGCATGGAGTTCTGGTGATGCCAAAGCCATACCTGCCTATGAGCTGGCTCATGTTGCAGGGAGTGCACAGTTTCACAGTAGCTTAGCTGGATATGTTTGTGGACTAAGAGTACTTCTGGGCAAGTGTGGCAGAATGAATAGACAAGTCTCCCACAATAAATTACACCCAAGCATTGCAACATCTAGCAAGAGTGTGAAGAACTCAAGGATATGCCCCCAGAAGCTACGGCATCAACTACATGTCAGTGTACCACAGTATGGATGTACCAGTATGTACGGTAAAGAGCAGATATGATGTGTATGTATCAATGCAAAATACATGCTTAAAGTTTGGAAAGTATGAGTTTGCGTGCATAAGGACACAAATATGGGTTTACAAAGAAGTGTAGACACAGCCTTAGTGGAATGAGTGGGTGGCATGTATCGGTTTGAGATCAGATATACTGATTGTCTTCACATCAAACTGTGTATTTTATACTAAAGACAATCTGATCAGTATGTAATATCTTTAAACAGAAATGAAGAGCATATGTATGCTATTTTACATCTGACAACTATTCAAATAACATACATTTTCGAAGTCTAACCCTACACGTTACTTAAAAAAATATATATACTCACCTTTCCATTATATTTGTTTGCAATCAAGTTACAAAGAGTTGTTTTTCCAGAAAAAGGAGGTCCAAATACAAGTACTTTACAAGGAGGAAGTGGCATAGGTGGTAGCAGATACAGACGGGGATTCAACATAAATGCTCTCAATGCTTCTTGAGATGAAAGCAAATACATTTTACCTAGGAAACTTTAAGAAATTGAAAAATATAGATAGTTAATCTTTAAAAATATTTCTAACACCCAAAGGATATCAAATTATGCTTACCTGACAGCTAACTCTGGAAGTCCCATAATAATGTTACCCTCTTTTAAAGCAACAGGACATGCTCGACCCCACCTGCTTCTACACCAACGGTATCTAGGTGCTATCAGTTTCAAAGATGAAAGAGTCCGAAAAAGTTCATCCTGTTAATTAGAACAACAATAAAAGTATATGTACTTTTCTATATTTTGTATATGTCCTATTTTGTTTCATTTGCCGTTTTGAAATATTTTCTAAGTAAGTATACCCTTCTTAATGAATTGCTACATTGTGCTTATTTGTTAATTTTAAATCAGAATATGTGAATTCATTAAATTTTTTCAGACTAGCAGTACTCCACTGTAAAGGGTAATTATGAGAGATATTTCATCTTTACATTTTTAACACAATTTTTTAAGAAACAATTATTTTTAACAAAAATGAATGTCTACATTTTTAAAGGCGCATCAAGGACTAATATCTTACATTACATCTTCAGACCTGGTATTACTAAAGACTCAATAGTAAATTAAAGAAAAGTTCAAAATGCAAATTTAAAGAGAGAAGAAGTGAACCATAGGAGATGGGGCTAAAAAGAAAGCCATAAATACATTAGGGAGTACAAATACCCCCTAGCTAATGAGATTTATATTGAAGGGGCAAAGTGGAGCTCAAACAGCTCAATTCTAGGTTTATGGAAATGCCAATTTTGATATATTAATCTCTTTGACAGAACTATTTGGAAGACATATCAAATAGGGGATTACCAAAATACCTATTACCAAATAGGGAATTACCACACAACTATTACCAAAATACCGTTTTGTCTTCCTCTGTACACAGGACTCTTACAGGCGGTTCCTGACTTGCAACGCAATCAGTTCCTGGGGAAGTGTCACAAGTTGGGAGCATCGTAACTCAAACCCATATTTATGACAGGTACTGTGTGCCATCGTAAATGCGGGCAAAGGATGTAAGTCGAGGGGTTTTGGCCCCTTCCGCACTTACAAAAATGGTCATAAGTGTGTGTGGGGGGGGGGGGATTGCAACTCGGGCCATCGTAAAGTGCGAGTTTTCTGTACTCATTGACCTTTAAGGGTCTGTTAAAGACATATTTAGTGAAAATATTTCTTTTTCTGTAAGCATTAGCACAATCAGGAATGTTTCACTAGCTACTGCCCAATTCAAATCTTTGATGATTTGGTGACAACAGGGAAAATCTCTATGCATGCTTATTATTGTAAAGGATGTCAAGGAATATCATACTGGTGAACCCTAAGATTTCTTTGTATGTCTGACATCTATGTTCTCAGTTGCACACAGGAGGAGCCCAAGAGACTTATTTTTTTCAGGAGACCTCCCTATAGAAATCATACATAATGATGAAGATACCAGAAGTCAACACTAATATATCTTATTTCTGATTTAATGTGGAAAATAAAATGTGTCTGTTTTTAGAAACTGAGCATATAGAGTTTGATATTTTTAATAGGTATGTCACAAAACCAAGAGAGTAATGGAAGGTATGAAACCAGCTTGCTGATGGAAATTTTATCCTTTAACATTTTCTTTCAACAAATATGACTTTATGAAGGATTTTCTCAAGTTTTTTTTCAAAACAGGGGCAGTCCAAAGCCATCTTCATTGGTTCCAATCCTTTTTACAATTGAAAGCATATGCTTCTCATACTTGTTTTATCTAGGGATGTTTATTGAAGCTCTAAACTACATGAGTAGGTTTGAAACTCATTTTCTTAAATCCACTTCTTTGTCAAAATAGCACATTGCAGTTGCCTCCACTGCTTGAATGTATACCCTTTGGCTATGTCTACATTGCACTTCCTTGTACAAGAACATATGCAAATGAGCTGCCATTTTTGTGCAAGGGGCTTTTGCGCAAGAAGGAGCAGTCTACATTGCTCCTTCTTGCGCAAAAAGAAGTTACTTATCTTGTGCAGTAACAATGGTTCTTCGAGATGTGTGTCCCCATATGTGTTCCACTGTAGATGTCAGGCTCGTCCTGGCACCTCAGATTGGAGATCTTGACAGCAGTGGTCAGCTGGACCCGCGCATGCGCAGTCAGCATCTCATGACATTTGCACCTTTCTCTTGTGCGTGGTCCAGCTCCCGCCAGTTCCTCTTGTCCGCCCGAGAATCTGAAAGATAGACAGAACAGAGACTCTGGAGCAGGGAAGAGGGCGGTAGTGGAGCACCCACAGGACACACATCTCGAAGAACCAACGTTACTGCACAAGGTGAGTAACTTCGTCTTCAAGTGATGTCCCGATGGGTGCGCCACTGTAGGTGCGCCACTGTAGGTGAGCAGCAGTGGTTCAGGATGAATGGATGGAGGGTCTTGGAGTCATGGTTTGATGGTTGTGGAAAGCACTGCTAAGACTACTGCTGAGTCCGAGGCCCAATGCTGCAATATGGCATAATGCTTCATCAAGGGGACATTTGAAGACCAAGTTGCTGAGTGGCAGAGGTCTGTAAGGGGAACTCCCTTGAGGAACGCTGTGGAAGTGGATACTGCTCTCATGGAATGAGCTCTTGGAGTGACTGGAAGTCGTCTGTTTCGGATAGTATAACATTTCTCAATGCAGTCTGCTATGATGTTTGATATGTGTTGGGATGATAAGGAATGTCCTTTAGACCACTCTGCGAGGGATAAGAGAAGACACTGCGACTTTCTAAAGGCTTGGGTTCTCTGGATGTAGAAGGCTAATGCATGACATACATCGAGGGAATGCAATAATACCTCTTGAGTGGAAGTGTGAGGTTTAGGAAAGAATACAGGGAGAATGATAGGTTTATTGATGTGGAACTGAGAGCAGACCTTGGGAACAAAGGTTGAAAGTGGTCGTAAAGTTATGCTGTGTTTGCTGAAGACAGTATATGGCGATACTGCCAGCAGGGCTGCTTGTTCACTGACCGTACATGCAGAGATAATTGCTAACAGAAAAATAACTTTCATTGTCAACACTGAGAGGTACTGTTGCCAGTGGTTCAAAGGGTGGTCTGGTAAGAGTATCCAGGACTAAGTCCAAGTCCCATGGTGGTGGAGGGGGCCAGTGAGGTGGACTGAGGTTAGTTAGGCCCTTAATAAAGCGCTTGGTGATAGGATATATGAATATGGAAGTAGCATCCAGGGACTGAAGGAAAGCCGTAATAACGGCCAGGTGACAATATGGGTAACCCAGTGTGGTGTAGTGAAAGAAGAAAAGAAGATATTCCAGAATATCATGTAGTGGTACACTATACGGGTCTAAGTATTTTTCCATTCACCAGGTGGTGAATCTGCGCCATTTGTGCATATAGGTGGTTCTGGTGATTTCTCTCTGGCTGTGTAGAAGTATCTGCTTTACTGGGGATGAACAGAGGTCTTTAGTGTTCGAGCACCATCGAGGAGCCATGCTGTGAGTCGAATAACATCGGGTTTATCATGTAGTGGTACACTATACGGGTCTAAGTATTTTTCCATTCACCAGGTGGTGAATCTGCGCCATTTGTGCATATAGGTGGTTCTGGTGATTTCTCTCTGGCTGTGTAGAAGTATCTGCTTTACTGGGGATGAACAGAGGTCTTTAGTGTTCGAGCACCATCGAGGAGCCATGCTGTGAGTCGAATAACATCGGGTTGTGGATGGAGAAGAGTCCTGCAATCCTGAGTTAGCAGGTTGGGGAGATCGGGAAGAGACGAGGTAACTGAAGAGACATTCGATAAAAAAAGAGAAACCATGGCTGGTGAGCCCATGAAGGTGCTATCAGGATCACCTTGGCTCTGCCTCTTCTGATCTTCTGTACTACTCTGGGTATGAGTGTAGTGGGTGGAAATGCATACAGAAGTTGACCTGACCAACTGAGGAGAAAAGTGTCGCCCAATGAGTTCTTTACAATTTCCGCTTTGGAGAAGAATTGTCTGCATTTGGAGTTCTGTTGGGATGCAAACAGGTCTACCTGTGGGAAACCCCAAAGACTGAAGATGTGTCGGAGTACATCGTCCTGGAGTTCCCACTCGTGATGAAGTGCAAGCTGTCTACTTAGCGTGTCTGCAGTGGTGTTGTTGACCCCTGGCAAATACAAAACTGTGAGTGTGACATTGTTGCGGATGCACCCGTTCCTTAGGAGCACTGACGCCATACAGAGGGCACGGGACTGAGCACTGCCCTGATGGTTTATATAATAAGTTGTGGCAACACTGTCCATGAGAATTCTGCTGATGGAAATATGTGTTTTGAAATATTTGCAGGAATTCAGCCCTGAGCTCTAAAATGTTTTTATGGAGAATTGCCTCCATGCGTGTCCAGCACCCTTGTACAGATAGATTGCTCATATGGGCCCCCCAGCCCATGAGGGAAGCATCCGTGGTGATCTGAACGGAGGGCTGAGGTTGGTGGAAAGGAACCCCTGCAAGAAGATTGCGTGGGTTGGTCCACAACTTCAACGAGAATATTACCGTGGGTGTTGGCATGATTCATTTGCTGACGTGATGTCTTGAAGAGACGTACACTGACACTAACCACTGTTGCAGGCACCAGAAGTGGAGCCTTACATGATGGACCACAAATGTCATGGTCACCATGTGGCCCATGAGTTGCATACATTTAAGTATGTAAATGAGGCGTGGCGATATTCATCGCCATGCATTTGCATATGTTCTTGTGCAAGAAAGCGCAATGTAGATGTAGTCCCAGATGATAATGTGGGGTGTTTAATGTAAAACAAAGTTATCACCTCAAAAGTACATAATATAAAGAGTAATGCACAAATATTATAATTACTGAAGGCAATCACATTTCTAGAAATCCAAATCTCACACTTACAGTTTCCATTCCTTCTGAGAGCTCTTCTTCTGGGCTTTGAAGTCTGGTGATAAGAGCACCATTTCGAAGGCCCATGGATTGAAGCCGGGCTATCACTGACTAAAGAGAAAATTCTCTTGAATAAATTAACATTTAAAATCACGTTTGAATCTGAAAGTTTCCTTGATGTGTTTTGAAAATTATAACTTGGTATTTATATATTGCCAGTATACACGGTATTGCCCTGTAGCACAGCCAGGAGCCCTGTTACATATTCAGCAGAGTTTCCACTGGGTGTTCAGTGGCGATAGATCACACAGAAACTTCTTACTCCAGTCCTAACCCTTCTGCCCCTCCTCAGGCAGAGTCCCAAACTTGTAGATGGTCTAGTGCTGGAAGGGATAGATAATACTGCAAAGGCTTTCTACTCATCAGGGAGCGGGTGAGATCTATAAGCAAATGGTTTCATAGTATGTGATGAAAAGGGTGAGGAGAGAAGGGAAATGATTTTCTTTTGAGATCAGAATCTGTTTATACATGTGGGATTTGGTACAAGTTTTTATTATTATGAAAAAATACATTAAAAAGAAGCCTGTCAATGGAAATTAACTGATATTACAATATATATATGACACTTCTTGTACCTAAGACAGGAGCTTCTATGCATGCAAATATTCTTGAGATCCAAAGATCAAATTTTGCCATGCCAAGCTTGTAATAATCAAAATCAATTAGGAGTCCCATGGCACCTTAAATACTAACAAATTTATTTGGGCACAAGATTTCATGGGTTGGAATTCACTTTGTCAGATGCATTTGATGAAGTGGGTTCTAATCCACAAAAGCTTATGCCCAAAGAAATCTGTTAGTCTTTAAGGTGTCACAGGACTCCTTGTTGTTTTTTGCTGAAACAGACTAACAGGGCTACCCCTCTGAAACTCATAATGAGTTTTTCCATTATTAAGCGGTGGGTAGAAACAGACTGATCTTTAGAATACTGATTCATAATGAATCATTTGTTTTGCTGTTTTTTCCAATATCATCTTAATAGAGATAATATCTAGTTTCGTTTATGTGTAGTATACTTACTGCAAAGAGCTCATTTGGGTGCTTCTTTCCATTCAGTTCAATAAGATACTGGGAATCTTGCTCAGCCATCATGTCCTTCATGTTTAAGAAGAAAGATATACACATAATCCTTAACTGAATGTAACCAAACAATAAATTAAAGGATCTGATCCTGCTCCCATGGAAGTCAATGACAAAACACACAGGAACTCCCTTGGGACTAAAATGCAGTCCATAGATTGAAAACAAATAACATTTAAATTGTCGGTCTAAAAGTCATGAATAACAATACAAAAGCTTCTGGAAAGGAGCTTCTATTTTAATAGCAAAAAGTAAATATATGAGAATTTTGAAAATATAGTTACAGTCAGGTCATAGTGTACCTAATAGGGAGATATCTCTTTAAGAGACCCCGGGGGCGGGAGGGAGAGGAGTGAGTTGTGTCTAGATCACTGTTGTTTGGTAGATTTAGCACTCCATACCCAGATTTAGCAGAATGGATGGTCACGGTGCAACTCTCTGAGTGCAACTCTCTAAGTGCAACTCTCTAAGTGCAACTCTCTGAGGCAGGACTCAGAGAAGTGAGGCAAGTTCTGTCTGCAGTCAAAGGCGGGAACGAGGGAACTGAGGGGAGATCAGGCTGCACGCATGAAGCAAAAGGCGCAAATGGCACGAGGAGCCTACAGCGCATGCGTGACCCGATCGGCTACTGTTATGAACCACTCCAATCTCCGGCACCAGGATAATCAGACACCTACAGTGGAGCACCCATGGGGACATCACTTGAAGAAGAATCTATAGTTTGTTTCTGAGAATGAACAATCTACAGAGCAAACTATACATTTTTGCAGGATATGCACCTAACCAAGACATCTGATGCAGGAGGAGGGACCATCAGACGATGGCATAGGTTCATGACAGGTGTCGCATTTTTTGAAACCTGGTGACTCTGGTATAATAAGGGGTCAGGTTAAACATCTTGGTTTTGTGTTTCTTCCTTTCTCTCCTTTTTTTTTTTTTAAGGCCGTGGCCGGTGAATGTGGCACATGCAGATGGATAGCAAGTAAGCTAAGTACGAGGGGAGGATCCAGGTTCTGTCAGTCTAGACCAAGGCTCCAGTGGCAGGATGAGCCCAGAAATATGGCAAAACAGCTCTTTTCTATAGCAGTTGTCCTTCATTGGGATCAGTAAATTTTGCATCATCATGCTATAATCAATTGCAATTTGACGTGTGCTTGTTTTCTTAAGTTATTCTTCTCATATCACAACTATCTTATTCCAATTGATAGGTGTTTGCCTTATCTTTTAGAATCATCGATTTGCCCTTTATCTGCATCCTGATAGGACTGTAAAGTAATCTCCTACCGCTTTTATGTCTGTCTCCAGTTCCTCCCTAGAACATCTGGTCCAGTGATGGCCTTTACACTTATTTCTTAACAAACATTCCTCATTCACACAAAACAGAGTTGATTCTTTGTTATACAAAAGTGATATGAACATTCTACCAGGAACATCAAGTTACAATTTTAAGAAGAACAATCATCACATTCTTTTACTTATTTCAGGATGTTTGTTGTAAGCCTAAAACATAATGGTGACCGTACAGGTCTATTCCACCCTTGACATCAGTTAGAGATACAAGCATTCTGTCTGATGCATCTCTACCAAATGGTCTTCCATTCATTTCTGCGAATCAGGAAGGGTGGCCGGCAGGGTATGAAACAGTCATAATTATAAAACAGATTAATACATTTAATATTTAAACTATTACAATATTATTCTTTATCATAACACATACATAACTTAAAAATAGGATTTTTCTACTATAAAGACAATGACTCCAAAACAACTACAGCCAGTCATTGCAACTAATGGACAGTGAGATGACCAAGTTGTTACACGTTTGAGTAGTGTAAATAGAAAACCTGTATGATTCAGTACATATCAGTATGTTAAATGTCTCTGAACTTCAAAGATAGCACAATAGCATAAATATTGTAAATGGTAGGAAAGCTGGTGGGTATAAGCAAAGTATGTAGCCAGTTGACATCTAATACTGAAGTACATGACAATATAGTTTTCACAATTTTTAAGTCTCATCTAAACTAGAAAAATGTGTTAGAAAATTTTGATTTGACACCAGAAACAACACTGAACTGTCTTCTAAATTCTGAGGAGGGGATCGATTTGTGGGTTAGGTACATCTTTGCAAAATAAACTCAAAATACCCAGAGTGCATAAAAATTATATAAAACACATTTAAAAACAATCTTCAGCTGTTCTTACCTCTAGAGGATGTAGCATGGTGTCCTTATAGAGATTAACCCTGGCTTCTGCATTTTCTAAAAAGTCTTCAGGCCTCTGCACCAAATGAGGCAAAATATCTGACAACATGACTGCATCTGCTGCTGCCTAAAGTAAAGAAAAAAATACTTTATTTCAGGTCTTGTAATAATAAATATACTAAAATCAGATTGAAAGGACAACAGTTAGAACCCTGCTACTCTCTGTGTGTGGAATAGTAAGTTAAGCAGCCATCTGAGGATTCCCCAGCTGAGGGTGATCCACCCACCACTACCTAGGTAAGTCCATTTCCTGGGTATAAGAGGAACTCCAGACATCTTTGGCCAACATTACAAGGGAGAGCAATTTAAAAGTATCCTAGGAGAAGAGTGATGAGGTAAGAGGAGAGTACATAAATCTGTGTGCTTCCTCTTCCTGGAGGTGAATGGAGCACTCCTCTGCTACATCTGAGCATTCAGCCTTTAGCATTTTCTACAAATATTTAAATATTTTCATCTTTATGATGTTGTATTGTCTCTCTATGGCCTTGTCTAGACTAGGAAGAAATATGTTTTAATAAACATGTTAGCTAATATTGATTGATGGGATACATTTAAAAGGAAAGTAGAATAGTAAGAGAAAGAGAAGGGGAAAGTAAGTAACACGAGGAATGGAAATGAAAAATACTGAGAAGCTAAAGAACATAATGAAGTGTTGTTGTCGGTGACTAATAGGTCTATCCGAGGTATACCTCACCGGCGAAAGAGGGAATGGAGGACTCTGCAGTGGATCTCCCATTTGCAATCTATCGTGAAATTCCTGTTGAGGAAATCCGCCATCATGTTGCTGATGACATGTAAATAAGATGCCACAAGGGTTGTGCCATTGGCAATGTACCAGTTCCATAGTTGGGTTGCCTCCATGCATAGCAATTGGGACCATGCACGATTTATATAACACATAGTCGCTATGTTGTCCGTGAGAATGCCCACTGTGCAGTTGCAGATCTGGATGTGGAAATGTCTGCAAGAGTTGGCGACTGCTCTCAGCTCCAAGAGGTTTATGTGAAGTAAAGCCTCTTGGGGTGGTAATCGGCCTTGGATGGCGAGTTTACTCATGTGAGCACCCCATCCTATCAGGGAGGTATCTGTGGTAATATGGCAATGATGTTGCAGTCGATGAAATGGAGTCCCTGACAATAAGTTGTCATCTTTGGTCCACCATTGGAGAGAAGATCTGACTGTGGAAGGAACGAGCACTGACTAGTGTACGTTGTGCTTCATAGGGTTGTAGATTGTAACCAGCCAGTGTTGCAACGGACAAAAGTGCAGTCTGGCATGAGGAACGACATTTGCAGTAGAGGCCATGTGGCCCATAAGTTTGAGTACTGTGAGAACCTGTACTGAATGCTTGTAGAAGAGCTCGTCCAATAGTTCTTGCATTGCCTGAAATCTGGTGATGGGTAAGTATGCCCTTTCAGCAATGGAATCGAGGCGAGCTCCTATAAACTCCAGATCTTGAGTAGGTTGAAGTATGGATTTGTCCCCATTGACGAGGAGACCTAAGAGAAGGAATGTCTGGCGGGTAATACGCTAAAAGGCAATCATCTAAGAAGGGATATATCACTACTCCTCTGCGTCGAAGGTGTGCAGCTACTACTGAAAGTGTTTTTGTGAACACTCTGAGTGCTGTGAAGAGGCCAAACGGTAGAACTCGATATTGAAAGTAGTCTGTACTGATTGTGAAGTGTAGAAACCTCCTGTGTGTTGGATGAATCGTAATGTGAAAATAAGTGTCTTTGAGGTCGAGAGCAGCAAACCAGTTGCCCTAATCGAGGGCTGTAGTATGGAGTCATGTATACTGACTAGTAGGGAGGTTAGTGCTACCATTTTGAAGCATTGTTTCCGGACATATTTGTTCAGTTGCCAGAGGTCCAGTATGAGTCTTCATCCGCCAGTTTTCTTTTGGACAAGGAAATAGCGGGAGTAGAACCCTTTCCTTTGGAATTGATATGGTACTCTTTCTACCGCACCTATATGGAGCAGGTGAGCGATTTCGGTGCGTAGTAAGTCTTCGTGTGAGAAGACTCTGAAGAGGGACAGGGATGGTGGGGTTGTAGGAGGAATAGAGAGGAATTGAATGGTGTATCCGGATTGAATTATCTCCAAAACCCACTTGTTGGTGGCAATGTTGGACCAGTAATGATAAAAGGTCTGTGGGCGATGGTGGAAAATGTGGGTAGAGTTGGAAGGGACTGTCTGTTTGCTCTCGACCAAGGCATCAAACCTGCTGTTTGTTGCTGGGCTGAATGTGCGTACGATTATTAAGGTTGCGACATTTCAGCAGTCTGTGGCGTTGGCATGACTGGTCAAAGAGGCAATGTTGGCGTTGCCATTGCTGCCTCGCGTGTGAGTAGTCATAGCACCTTTGAAAAGATACATAGCACCTCCTTATATATGGGGGGAGTGAACATTCCCAAAGATCGAAGGGTTGTACTAGAATCTTTACTAGAGTAGAGGACTGTATCTGTCTTTTCCCCGAATAATTTGTCTTTTTCAAACGGTAAGTCTTCCACTTTCATTTGCAGATCCTTGGGGACTTCTGAGGATTGAAGAAAGGAAGCCCTCTTCATAACTACAGCCGTAGCTGTGGCACGAGCTGCAGTGTCTGCGACATCCATTGCAATTTGCAAACTGGCCCGTGTGGATTCATAGCCCTCTTGTTCGACGGACTTAAGCAGTGGCCTTTTAAATTCTGGGAGTGCCTCCATCAGATCTGTCAGCTTGGTGTAATTATCAAAGTTATGGTTTGATAAATGCGCTAAATAATTGGCTATTCTGAGAAGCAGTCTTTTGAACTCTCTGTTTGCTATGTTGTTTTTGTATTGTGCCACCTTTGCTCTTTGATGTGCTGCATCGACTACAAGGGAGTTGGGCTGGGGGTAAGTCAATAAGAACTCAGACCCTTCTGGCTGCACAAAGTATTTTTTGTCTGCCTGTTTATTAGTAAAGAGGGCGGATGCTGGGGTTTGCCAGAGTTCATTGGCAACCTTGAGTATGGCCTCGTCTAGAGGTATAGTCAGCTTTGCACTCTGGGTCATCTGCAGGTTCTTAAGGAGACAATGCTGCTTCTCCTTTATTTTTGTTAGCTGTATCTCCTGGGAAACCGCCATTCTCTTGAAGAGATACTGAAACTGCCATAAGTCGTCCAGTGAGGAGACGTCTCCGGGTATAACTGTCTCGTCTGGCAAGACACTTCGGGTGGTGGTGTCTCTGTTGTCATAAGTTGCTCCTCCTCTTGATCAGAGGGAGGAGGTTGGGGTGGCAGTGGCTCTTGGCCCAGGAATGGCAGAGCCGAGAGTGGAGAGTGTCTGGATGAAGGAATAGCCCGCAATAGATCTTGGTGGATATCTGGGAGAATAATAGTAATGGCAGTGGTGAGGCGAATAATCCCTATGGTAGTCATGGCACTCATAATGGTCACAATGATAGTAGGAGGATCATGAAGGGGAATGCCTGTAGAGGCAATGTCTTCTACAGTCCTGCTGAGAAGATGATCTCGGTGAATGCAAGGATGGAGAAGGAGAGTAGGATCTTTTTGGAGGTGGTGATAGAGAAGCAGAGAATTGGTGGTAGTATCTCCAGGTATCCCTTGGTGGAGTTAGGAAGGGAGATGGGAGCCTATCCGGAGATATGTACCTTTTGGACAACCAGGGAGATCTCCTGCTGGATGGTGGGGATAGAGAAGGAAATGGCACTGGCAAGAATGTCAAAGGTGGAGAAGCGGGGGATGGACTGCAGTGATGGTGTGTCTTAGCATGTTCCTTTGTTGGTGCTGCTTGCTCCGGTGTCAATGATGGTGCTGGCTGCTCTGACACCGAGGTCGGTGCCGCTTGTTCTTGTGGTCGGTGTCGCTCGCCCCCGTGCTGAAGTTGGTGCCGCTCGGTTCCATGCCGAGGTTGGTGCCGCTCCACCAGGCGGTGATCTCTCCGGTACCGAGCCTGACTCGGAGGATGTGGAAGCGGCATGTATCGGCGCCGACTGGACACGCAGCTCCATCGCAACAGGTGGTGCCAATGGCTTTGGTGAAGAGACCGCCAGTGCCACTGTTGTTGAAGTCACAGCTGAATGGCACGAAGTCATGGGCGGGACATGTAGGGTACGTCTAGACTACATGCCTCTTTCGCCAGAGGCATGTAGATTAGGCTACCAGACATAGGAAAATGAAGCGGCGATTTAAATAATCGCCGCTTCATTTAAATTTACATGGCTGCTGCACTGAGCCGACAAACAGCTGATCAGCTGTTTGTCGGCTCAGCGCGATAGTCTGGACGTGCGGGTGTCGACATCAAAGGCATTTGTCGACCACCCAGGTATGCCTCCTGGGATGAGGTTTACCTGGGTGGTCGACAAATATCTTTGATGTCGCCACCCGTGCATCCAGACTATTGTGCTGAGCCGTGTAAATTTAAATGAAGCGGCGATTATTTAAATCGCCGCTTCATTTTCCTATGTCTGGTAGCCTAATCTACATGCCTCTGGCGCCAGAGGCATGTAGTCTAGACGTACCCATAGATTGAAGTAGCATGGGCACTCATACCCGAAGTGCCTGGTTTGGAGCCCGTGCTAATCCTGCCGTGAGAAGTTAAAGGCAGTGATCTAGTGGGAGAGGGCTTAGACTTTCTCAGTGGTGCCATAGTCGGCGAGGAGGATCTTCTCTTTTGAGCCTGCTGACTCGCTCGAGGGAGAGAGCCTGATCCTTCAGTCTGGAGCGCCTTGTCGAAGAGGATCATCCGGAGCCTCATTTCTCTATCATGGTGGGCTCTCGCCGTGAGTTTTAAATAATGTATGCGCTTTTGTGGTACACGAGCCTCGCCAAGGCAGTGGATACACGCCGCATAGCCGTCTGAGCCAGCCATGGCTTCGCGGCACATAGAGCATTTTTTAACTCCTGGAGACTGAAGGTCTGTAATAGAGCCCTGGTTAAGGAGACCGAATTGTGGGCTTCCTGACTCCTGGTTGCTTTTATTAGGCAAACACCAGGGTAAAGCAATATAGACCCCCCCCGCTCCTCCGTTTGTGGAGATGCATGGTGACCACAATGGATAAGACCCTCAGAACTGTGGAGAG